TTTTTTTTTTTTTTTTTTTTTTTTGAGTTCTTGGTAGCCTAGAACTAGTGGTCTGCGTGGATAATGTTTTCTGCAGAAGAAGAAGGAAAAAAACCCAGGAAGGATAATAATTTTCTAACGCATTTTTGCTCGCAAGGGACAATCTTAGTCATTGATTTATTCATTATATTTGAATCCCATAACTTATGCCCCATTACAGTAAGAGTAAATGCTCTCGAGAGAATTGAGAAAATGATGTGCAACTCTTGTGTGGATATGTACTTTTTAGTATGGATGAAATATATTTGGACAAGAAACAGAAACTTTGTGGTTTATAATGTGGAAATTTTTTTGGGATTAATTTGTGAAACAAGTGTCTTTTTCCAGTATGTGATCCAGTGATGGGTGATGAAGGGAAGCTATATGTTCCTCAAGAACTGGTATCTGTATACCGCAAGAAGGTGAGAAATCCAGTTCATTCTGGCCCCAGGTGGTGCTTGATAGCTCAATCATTTAATCTTGACATGAGTTAGATTTTTCCTTTCATGTACGTTGTTCCTTGATTGGCCCCACCTATTGAACTTTTCCGTATCCACGTGTGTTGGAAGTCAACAGTCATTTAAAACTGAAATTTCGTATTCATGCGTGATGCAAGTTAACAGCCATTTAAGCATCTGCCCTTTATATTTCCTTTTTCATGTTCTTGTGAGTCTGATTCCTGGCCAGGTTGTCCCGGTGGCTTCAATGTTGACTCCTAATCAATTTGAAGCTGAACAATTGACTGGGTTAAGGTAATTTAACTCGTATATGGTCATGATAAATTTACTGTGCTAATGTTTTGTTTGCTGACCTATATATATCGAAAGTGTATGATGTCACATTTACTTTTAAATCATAAAATTACACTGCAAACTGGTATGGTTGGAAGTGGAGACTGGGATGCGTAATCTTTTTCATTAAGCAAAATTTTATTAGACATCCTTTATTGAGTTCTTTTGATTTGTCCTATCAATCTTAATATTTTGAATTTCTGCATGTAAATTTGTATAGCAATTAGCCGTTTTTCTTTGAAACTCTATAATTTGTTATTTAACTGAACCTCAATTTGTCTGGCTGGGCAGTAGTTAGTACTACAGCATCCTTTTTTCCTTGTTCAGATAGTGGTCTTTAAGAAGCCTTGCTTTTTTCAGGATCCAATCTGAAAGAGATGGCAGGGAAGCTTGTAACATTCTTCATGCCGCAGGACCTGCAAGGGTAAGAATTATGAATGTCTCTAATAGCCTGTTGAGATATTGACGTGCATAGGTATTTCTTATTTAAGCGGTGCTTTAGTAGTCAAGTATCGTGAAGTAGAGACAATGGGGAGGTAAATGAAATCTTGTAGGAGTGATTCTCTTAAATGCGAATCTCACGTTCCTTACTTATTTAGAGAAAAGGGAGATGGTAATTGGCACGTTGATGCCTGTCTCAGTTGGATAATTGATGCATCATAATCATAGTTTGGCAGTATGGATTGGATCATGCAACGAAATAGCTGGGGTCCTGCAAAAGATAATAACTTCATAAGATATAATCACCGAGTGAGTTACGGATTTAGTTTGGAAGTACTTTAAAACATCTTTTGTTTTTCAGGTTCTTCCGGGCATTGTGTTGAGACAAAATTTCAGATAGTAGGTGCTTATCTTATTAAGAATTACCGCTGTAGTCCTATTTACTTTAGGCGGTTAGAACTTCTCCTGGCATTGAATACCTAGCTGTCAAACCGTGTTATACTTTGGAAAATTTAACTCTAATTCCTTCAACAAACATAAACACGACCCTTTCTGTTGTTGTCAACGTTTTTTGTAAATGTCATACATCATTTTAAATGTTATTTCCTGTGTTGTAAGTAACTCCGCAATCTAATGAAAAAAATCTTGATAAACATCTCAGGTTGTGATTACAAGCATAAATATGAACGGTAAACTTCTTCTCATTGGCAGCCATCAGAAGAATGAGGTGAATTTTTGCACTTTATATTGAATTAAGTTCTTTTGGATTGAGATCTGAGTCATTTGGTGCATTCTTTGAATCTTGCCAAGCTCTAAGAAAAATTGTTTCATTGCCCTTAAGATTTTTTTGTAAGAGCCCAAGAAAACTAATTTACCATAAACATTATTCTGTGGAAATTCAACAGATTGCCGGGTTAGAATGGCAAATAGACTTCATCATTATCACTGTCTGAGTGTTCCTGAATAAACTGATGTACCAATCGTACGCTAGAAAAGTCACTTGTGCTTATGATGCTATACAGCATTCAAATGGCTGCCTTTGCTTCTTGGAACAACAATCTAAAGTGCATCTGACTTCCCTCAGTAGTAATAAAATTTCCTTTTTTACAAATTCTTCTCAACTAAGATAGAGAGTTGACACGACTTTAGAAGTTAAGCAAGTATAACTGATATTGGAAAGGACAATACTTTATTTCCATCCATCGGAGATACATTATTGGCATGTGGATAGTTCCGGAAACTCCTGTCAACGTCCTGAACTGAAAATTCAACGATCAACTCAAAAATGAAAATGTTGTGTTCTTAGGAAAGCAGCCGTTTCTGAAATTGTGAAGTTTGAGCTTAGAAAAGAAGTTGCAACACTTCATTCGAGGCACCCAAGATGCATCATCACAGTAGGGTCAGTCTTCCTTCTTCAAGCTGCACCGACCCCATTCTATTCTTTTAGACCTTTATTCACCGTTGAGGATTGGATGATTGTTATTCAGAGATGTCTCCTTTGTCTTTCATGATGATTGGATATAATAATAGTAGAAAAAAAAAACCCCATGAAAATTTATAACTTTTCACTCACAAGGGATGCTTGTGGAGGGTTTTGTTGATTATGCAATAATCGACCCTAAGAAAAGTTGGTATGATGGAAGTTCTTACTGAAGTGAAGGTAAACTATACAGGCCTTATTCCCTTCCCTTCCACTTCATCCTCCTTATTGTCTCTTACACTACAACTTTCTGCAATGAAAATCGGTTGATTATAAGGTTGCCGGCATGCTTGCCTCCTTTACTTGGGAAGCAATAGTTAATGTCGGTAATGAAAGACTTGGGCCTTTTATTTTTATTTTTTTGTTACGTGAAGAAAAAAAAAAACGATTTATCTATTTATTCTTTGATTCCTTGCATTTATATACGACACATTTTTAGCTTAGGGTACGCTACACCAATATTGGGAGCTTTTGTGGTATTTATATTTTTATTATGTTTGGCTTGCGTGCACGTGATTTAATTGCAGCAATTAAACACTGATGTCCCAGGGCCAGGCTCCTGAACAATTTAAGATCGTGATTCCCATGATCCCTGCATATTTCACAGTAAGAAAATCTCTCATCTAATTTCATATGCAATGTTTATCTCTAACTTTTTCGAACTGAAATTGCTGTAAAAAAGAAACTATTGTTCTATTTAAACAATGCATGGAGAGCTAGTGCGTCTGTGGATTATCAACTTATGGAAAAATAAAAGTTTACCGTAAGTAATGGGCTCAGGCAAGTCATTTTTCATAATGTATAGGAAAAGTGAAACCTCTAAGATTTAGTGCTTCTTGTTCCGAGTATCTATTCCAGCTCTTGAAATGAACATTTAATTGCTACATCAGTTCCTTTCATTTTCTAAAAAAAATTGAACTTTAAGATCTTTTTACACTATTTTTCCAAGTCTCCAATCTGTTGGCAATATTTTAGAGTAGTAATTCAAGTACTATAACATGCTGAATCCCCACTTTGAGGAAAATGTATATATTGGGTGGAGTGTTGTTAGGAACCTTAGTGGGACATGTCATGGTTTGTTAAGAATCATTCTTAACATGGTTGTTTAAAAATAGACAAACTAGATATAAGGGAAAGATTGTGGTGATAGACTTCGTGGGGCATGTTCGTCATTAGCTGGAGAATTTGTAAGATAAAGTTTATCTTAAGATAACCTTATAGTCCTCTACATTTCCGTTCAAGTTATGTTAGTTATGCTATTTTGTAGGCAGAATCTCTCTCTCTCTCTCTCTCTCAAGAAATGGTAATAAAGTACTAGGAAGCTGAATGCCTGAAACCGTTTGGCCCCATCCTGAATCATATGCTGTTAGATTGATACATCTTCTAAATGCATTTGTAGGGAACTGGAGATCTTACGACTGCGCTTCTTCTTGGTTGGAGCAATGTAAAGCCCCTAACCTAAAATTTATTGAAAACAGTTAACAATTGTTTGAGTATCGCTTTCATTAAGTAATATTTCATTATGTTTCCAGAAATACCTTGAACACCTTGATTTGGCGGCAGAACTTGCAGTGTCAAGTTTGCAGGTCTTTCTCCACCTCTGTTTGTTTTGTTTCCAGAATTATTTGTTTTTCAGAATTTACTCTAGAAGTAGGAATACCGGTGATTATACACGTGCATTGTATAGTTTAGTGTCACCTTTGGAGTGGAAATTTAAAATCGATAAGCGTATGCATTTTACCTACTTGAAAAATGAGTCTATTGTATTTCGCTCTAAACCGATTTGTGTTATAGTGCTATTCTCCTCTTTATCATACCTAACGATTCAAATCTGTGTATGGTGCATGGTTTGCAGGCGGTTCTGCACAGAACAATGAATGATTACATAAGTGCAGGACATGATCCTAAATCGAGTAGTTTGGAAATTCGATTGATTCAAAGCCAAGATGAGATTCGTAACCCACAAGTCAAACTCAAGGCTGAAAAATACGATTGAATTGGTGATTCATTCGAATATCTTTCTAGGTGTATTGAAAGATGGGCTTGAACATCTTTATTTTCGTTTCTTAGCCCAAAAATTGAAGGTATAATAATAGTTGTACTGAAAACCTGGTTTTAAGTTCACTCTCTAAAAGCTTGGGGATGAAGGGATTAAGGTTTGGAAGTAGTTTACACAATCCGCCCCTACATTTACTTATATAATTTAACCCTCTTTTAATTGCATATCATTTTAGGGTAAAATGCACTTTTTAAGATTTTGAAAACTCCTTTAAGGTAATTAATTTCTACTTGGACCTTCTAGGTTTTAAAAATAACAAATTTGATCTTCCAAAGTTTGAATTTCATTTTCAATTAGTTCATGAAGTTTGAAAATGGTTGTAAAAATAACTTCAACAAACTCAAAAGTTTTGATGTAGAAAGTGTTATTAGAAAACTTATTTACTTCTAATAATAATGCCAAAATTCTTTCCTAAAATGACATAAATAAAGCCTTTAAATATTTAGTTACTAATAAAGCAAGTTCAGTGTCTATCAACGACAACACTAAAACAGGTACTTCTCCACAAAGACACATAAGCTAACTGTAACGAAAACAAAATTTACCAAAGTTCAAAAATGGTCCAAATAACACAAACAGTTCAATTACAAACGACATTAGATGCTGAAACTTATTCGCTTGAAAATCCTTAAAGAGAATAATCGAACCTTTCAAGCCTGTCTGATTGGTTTGAGAGTGCAAGATTTCCACCATCATCCCTCCTTCAAATCAATATTTTCTTATGCAGACAATGTTTTCTTTTCAGTTACCTTGATGTCAACTCCATGGAAACCAAGCATCTTGTTTAGGGCACCAATGTAGGCCTTCACACTTGATACAACTATGTCCATCCCTGCTCCAATACCACTGCAACGATAAAAACGTATCACTAGATGTACAGTTAATAGATATACTGTAGTTTACTAGCATGAAGAGAAGAATATCAGAAATCACAGAGTTTAATCTTAACTTGATATTGGGTTAGTCCTATTTATTGTAATCAGTAAGCATTTGAATCAACTAATTTCGCATATATATGTTTGACTGATATCACGGGACAACCACATAAACCTTCGACTACAATAATTGGTAACAGATAATACTTGTAGGGTTTTAGATCCAAAGTAAATACAACCATAGTTTGAACCTCTTCTCTTGATATAGATTGGTGTTAACATTCCATTTATCCATTTTCTTTTAGTTTGTTAGTATCTAAGTTAGATTGCATCCACCTTGATTTATCTAGCAGGATAATGCTCACCTGTACTACAACATTTAGATCTCAGTAGGTTGCTACCCGAGTTTGGACTCATTCCTCGTGAGTCCCTTTTAAATAAAGTTTGAAAAAAGTAGATAATTTTTTATCTATATTAGAAAAAACCGGTTCTACAAGCCTGACCTAAAATTGAACAAAGCAAGCTTCAAATAATGGCATATGTTAGTCACGGAAGAAAATAATGCTACGCATTAAATTTAATGGAATAGAAAGATTGTCATCTGTCATGGCAGCATGCAAACATGCAGCTTTAATGAATCTGACCTTTCTTTCTTTTTATTGGTTAAGTTTTTTATTCTGTTGTCTTTTCTACTTATCGATCTTTCGTCCGACCCTTTCGTTCTCTTCCTCTTAGTTATGCTTCATTCTTCTGTTCTTTTTGTTCTTATTCTTAAAGCTTCTGGGTTCATTCTTGTTCTTCATCTTTGAAGTATTACCTTTATTCTCCAAACTCTTCCATTTTTCATGTTAATAGGGTTCTTCTAATAGGCCCTTGCTTGACTTCATGGCGATAGTACAAAAGGTTGAACACAACTCTACGTGGGAAACACTCGCACTCTTTATTAAAACCAATCGAGAAGAGAATACAAGACACTATGTAGAATATTTTTTGGATTACTTGGATGAAGAACCTAGGTAGGGTGGAGGTGTATTTATACTAGAGCCTAAGCAATCTAGACCTAACAAATCTGAATCTTTTTCCTAAAATATCTAGATCTCTTCTCCTAAAATCAGATATCTTTCCTAAAATCTCTACTAAAATAAATATACAATGGGCTCGTACAATTATTAGGCTTGACTCTATTGGACTAGTGATGATATTTCAACACTCCCCCTCAGCACTAGTCCTCATTCGCTGCACCATGTTGAGCTGATAGCGAAAACTCTTATGTTTGCCAATATTCAGCCCTTTTGTAAACAAATCTGCCACTTGATCATCTGTCTTGATTTGCTGGATCTCGATTTCTTCCTTCAAGACTTTCTCTCTAATGAAATGGTGGTGTACCTTCACATGCTTTGTTCTAACATAAAACACTGAATTTTCTGCTAGGCGAATCACAAATTGATTGTTGTAATGAAGTGGTATTGGATACTCAATTTTCTGGTGCCAATCTTCCATCAAAAGTTTTAACCATGTATTTTCCTGAGCTGCTCCAGTTGCTGCTCTGTACTCTGCTTCTTTAGTTGACAATGATATTGTTGGTTGTCTTTTGTTACACCAAAAATTTATTCTCGAACCGAGCTTGAACGCATACCCAGTGATTGATCTTCAGGTATCGTGGTCTCCTTTGACATATCTCAAGGTCCGTCGAGCCGCATCCAAATGAGGCTTCTTCAGATTTTGCGTATATTGATCAATGACTCCAACTTTATTTTCGAATTTCTTCGGTTGGTCCATGTAGAGCTCTCTGTTTAACTCTCCATGCAAGAAAGCATTATTCATATCCATCTGCCATAATTTCCAATTTTTATTTACCGTAAGTACTGGAGGAACTTGTACGATAATGATCTTTTCCACTGGACTAAACGTTTCATCATAGTCTAGTCCATATTCTTGAGAGAACCCTGAATCTATAGTCTGAGCTTTGTATCTCACGATTGATCCATCTAGGGTACACATTATTTCATAAGCTCACTTGTAAAATATGAGTTTGGTATCTCTTGGTTTTGGTACTAATTTCCAAGTTTGATTTTGTTCCAAGGCTATAGTTTCTTCCTCCATCGCTTTCTGTCAAGCTGAGTTTTGTGATGCTTTTTCACATGTCTCCGGCTCATTAACTTTGTCTTCTACTGCGTTGGCATACTCTGAATTTGTCTTTAGGATTATTTCTGAATGTTTGAGTTGTTGAGGTGTCATTTCATTTTCACTAGGTCGCTTGGTTGAGTCACTTCTTGCTCACCAACACTAATGTCACTTGAATCTTCAGGCACAACAGCACTTAAGCAAATGTGTACAATTTGCTCCCCGTCTTTTGTGGAAGAATCTCTTCAGTTTGCTCCTTTGTGTTCTGTAAAAGAATTTCTTCCATTTGCTCCTCTATGTTTTGTAAAACAATTTCTTCGGTTAGCTCAAGGCCTAGTAATTCTTCCTCTCTGAGGGCCACCCCTCTTCCATTGCACCGCTTTGATCGTCAATCATGTGGTTTAAGCATCTTGAATCAATGATCCGGTCATCCTCGTAATCGATATGCTCTTCCATCATTGCCATGAGTGCTAGCTCGTCTTCTACTATTGGACATAGTACCTCTACATCCCATTCATCCTATATCTTCTTTTTGGATATTGCCACATTGCTTTCAACCGACTTTTTCCTAGACCAACAATCTCTAGACATGTGGCCCTTTTTCCTGTCATTATAGAAAATACCTTCAAATCTCTTTCCTTGGAAACTCTTGTTGTCGTTCTTCTGAGCTCTCTCGGGTTGTGAAGTTTCTTTGACTTCTTCTTTTATCACCATTGTATCCATGTTTGGTAGATTGCTCCGACTTTCACATGTGTAGAGTGCTTCTTCTTCACCCTTCAATGTGATGCCTCCCATTTGTTTAGCCATGGCTTCTTGGCTGGCTAACAAATTTTCGAACTCTACAAGTGATGGTTGAGTGGGTCATCCTTGTACAACAGTAATAAAGCTTCTATATTCCGATCGCAATATGTGGATTATAATCCTCTTCATTCGAGATTCTACAATGGCAGACTTCGAGTCTAGTTCAGTAATCTCCCGACAAATCGACTTGACCTTGTGGAAGTACTGAGCAATTGTCATGTCACATTGTGAAGTTGACAACAACTCATTCTCCAAAAGTTGTAGCCTTGTATCGTTCTTCTTTGAGAACAACATCACAAATGTGTCCCATGCTTCTTTCGGTGTCTTGTCATCCCAAATATGTTCTAACATCTCTTCTCCGATTGTGGTCTTCAAGGCAAACATTGCTTTGCCTGCTTTGATTCTCCATTTGCGCAAGGCACTGTTAGAATCCTCCTCTGGCGGCATAGTTTCACACCAGCCAACGATCTCCCAAAGATCTTGTCCTTGTAAATAGGACATCATGCATGTTGCCCACGTGTTGTAGTTGTTGTTGAGTTTCTTGATTCCTCCAACGATTTGGAAATCACCCATCGTGTTGGCCATACCTCAGTAATACCAAACAAGCTCTTTCAACACAAGACTTGCAGAGTCACAGACTACTCACGACACAAATGAAACTCACTCACTATTAATCTCAAGAAATCGTTTCTGATGTGGAAGATCAGATAGAGCTGCAACCACCATACTAAGAATTCCAAGAGATCGATAACATACACTAGCCTTACTCTGATACCAATTGTTGAACACAACTCTTTGTGGGAAACACTCGCACTCTTTATTAAGACCAATCGAGAAGAGAATACAAGACACTGTGTAGAATGCTTTTTGGATTACTTTGATGAATAACCTAGGTCCAGGGTGGAGGTGTATTTATACTAGAGCCTACGCAATATAGACCTAACAAATCTAAATCTAACAAATCTGAATCTCTTCTCCTAAAATCAGATATCTTTATTAAAATCTCTACTAAAATAAATATACAATGGGCTCGCACAATTATTAGGCTCGACTCTATTGGACTAGTGATGATATTTCAACACAAAAAAGCAACAAATGACGCACCAAGGCACTCGCCTTGGAGACTTGCATAGGGTGAAGACTTCACCTCACCTCTTGCCATATGCGAGACCTGGGCTCGCCTATAACAACACCGAATATATTTTAAAATAGGTTATATATGTTTAATGTTAATTAGATATGCCTTAACTAGTTAATCAACACACTCATGTTGTTGGCCTAAACCATGATACTTAGAAAAAAGTTAGATGAAGAATTATCACCTAAAGAAGAAACGCAGAACTTTTTCCAACGTCTTATAAATGTGAAGATATTATTAGAAAATTTCAACTCTATAGTACGCTGATTTCTCTTCTAAATTAGTCAGCTTTAAGCATCATACCATGTTAGCGTAGGTTATTAAAATGGGAATGGTATTATAATTGAATTTTTTTAGAATAATAGAGACAAATGAAAAAAACACTTAAGCATTTGGCACTAAAATATATATTTATACTTAAAAGTATGCATGCATTGCGATTTGTGCCTAACTTTTACCTAAATGTTCGTTGAACTGATTCTCCAGTCGATGCATGAGTAGCTGTGTAACTTTTTTCCCCTCTTATTAGAACACGGGTCGTGGCAATTGCATCGATACCTTCAGTGACAGCAGTCATTGAATACTCGAGAAGTGTTGCTGGTTCCTGCATCAAGGAAAATCACACCTCTGCACTGTCACATTCACTCAAGAACGACACACCTAACAAGCAAACAGTATATGGCAAGCAAGCAAAAAAAAAAAAAAGTTTTGTTTTTAGTTCATGAAAAATAATGTGGCGAAAAAGACAACACCATAGTCCGTAATTCAGGAATAGCATTAAAACTAGATAATATATATGCAGGAAAGGATTTGAAAGCCTGGCTATCGATCATGATGACTTTTTATGTTATATCCGCCAAATATCATGGCACCACCAATAGGCTCACATCTGAAACTATTCAGATGACAACAAATAGGCTTTACGTGATGCTTTGGATTAGAATTTTCAAGCATTTAGCAAACAAACTCATTTGCTAAATCCAGGTCACATGTTTTGTTGTGCCCTTGAAACCAATTATCTGAAATATCCTAATTTTACTTCACTAGGAAATCATCCTGAAGATGCATTCTAGATGTAAAGTTTCACTTTATCTCAAACCTTAACAATGAGATCCACAGCCTTGTAAGCTGAATCTACAGGGCCCGTTCCAACAGCACAAGCAATGTGCTCTTCCCCATCAGCATCAAGGAGTTTAACTGTAGCAGTGGAAAGACCAAGAGTTCCACAAGTGACCTGCACTTGAGGTGTTGTTAAATAATGCTATATGTGTATCACAAAATAGCTCAAAACAACTTTCCGAATCTGAAGATCAATTACAAATTAAACAACCTGCAAATCTAGCAGCTTCCAAAGAACAATTGGTTGAAAAACTTCATCAGATACCAACGCTCGAATATCAGCATCTGTAACTCTCTGGAAAGTCAAAAATAAATTAGAGCAAAAGATTTAGAACAAAAGGTTTGACAATTAGGAATCAAGGAATGAAATAATATGAAAACTTCCTTATGCAGTAGTTATTTATGTTCTTGAAACAGGTCAAAGTAGAATCCCAATTGGTATGTGCTACTCTACCCTGCGCAGGAAGCATGTAGGGAATAGCTTATCAAAAGAGAGTGGTACAAAATTTTGAGTCACCTTCTTTTGTTCAGCTACTGCTTTGAAACGCCAAAATACGTTATCGAGTTTCTCATTGTCAAGTTCATAACCAAGCTGAAAAGACAAAAAAACAACATTTGCCTAAAGCCAGAAAGGATGATATAATATAGAAAGATTACGTAAACATTGAGCTTGGAGATCCAAATTTACCTCCACAAGTCGACTTTTAAGGGCATGTCGTCCACTGTAAAAGTAGTCATAATGAACCATGTTATTGGGGTAGTATATTTTGAACAATATACAAAAAGTGAAATACATAAACATAGAAAGTCAATCCTGTAATGTTGTAAAAAAATAATCGTGGGCTAACACTACAAAAGAACGGCAACAGATGTTTCTCATTTCTTCTGTGCCAGAAAACTACTTTAGCTCTCTTGGTACCGCTGCATCACAGAAATAGGATGATTTACGGAAAAAAGAAGATCAAATTTTTCAATATCCATTCAAATCTTCTTAAACTTAATCTAACCTTGAACAGAAAAATGCCTCACAAATTATGCATTTTCTAACAAAATAGCTTCTTCAATCTCCTCTCTTCTATTCTTAAGCAATGACTTACTACAATGTCCAACGTTACTAAGATCCTCTAGGTGGACCAAAGGAATCTCAACAAAGAGGTGTCAGGTGCTGCAAAAGGGTACGAACTCTTACAGACCCTCTTGAACAGTATGTCTGTAAACGCAAAAGCTAAGTTCAATGAAAAAGAACATATCATCCTTGGAACAAGTTAGAACGTGCAAGAAATCTGCCAGAAACTAAATATTACAAGTTACTTTATTAGATGATTAATTTATAGTATGAAAGAAAATGGGCGAGGATATTGAGGGTTTCAACAAGATAAGAAAAGTAATATATTCAGGACAGCAAAGAAGAGGACAAGATAACTCAGTTGAAGTTCCATTAGATGCTGAAAGACCAATTCATTAAGAAAGAGGGTGAGGATAGTCTGTCACAAGAGAATCTCAGGGATAGACTACTCTGTTGCAGGATTTGTATGATTTTGGACATGAATGAATAGAATCCTTTTAGGTTATCATGTTCTCTTGCATACTGGATTCTAATCCTTTTAGGTGAGGTAAATACCGTTGGCCTCCACAAAGCACAAGTACTTTATTCTGGAAAAGTGTCCCAATTTTTCATGACACTTGAAATGAATCGGAAGCATAGTAGGCACACTGAGAAAACCTTACTGAGAGAAAATGCTGAAAAGAATTTTTATGTAAACTCTAAAGTTTTAATTATTAAATAAAGCATAGATGCTAGACCTAGACCATATCAGTTAAAGACAAAGTACATGCGCTAAGAAACCTAGAGAGAACAGAAAAGAAATGCACGAGTATACTACATGTATAAAGTGAAAATGCGAAACTCTAAAAGGCATAATTGCAAGGTGCCCGCGATTAAGGAGTGTGCCTCCTATGAGGCAACATGCACTCGGTATGCTATGGTACACACCCAAATTCTTTGGATATTTTCAAATTTTCCCTTTTTTGTTCACAAAAGGATGAAAGTTGCTTCAAAGCGTATAATATTTTTAATCGATTTCTTATGTAAAGCCCATCCTGATCTCATTATTATGAATTTCGTATCTTTTTATAATTCATGCTGACACATGCATGGAGAGGTGGGGAAGGGGAGACAAAGGAGGCAGGAAGGGAGATTTAATCAAGAAAAAGACAACATTGTCCTTTTCCATAAATCAACATGGCATACCTAAGTTTTCCTAGAACAATACCAGCATCATTGGATCGTTCATAGCCAATGTCTTCAGGGGCTATGATTTCATAAGTACCTTTGTGCTTAAGCATTCCATCCTGCATAAAAAAAAAAAAGAAGCAATATTTAAGATACAATTGGATCCTCACAAAACAGGACAAACAACCACCCGCATGACTCACAAATAAAATAATAATAAGAAAAAGAAGAAGAAGAATTAAAAATATAGAAATAAGAGACAATCAACATCCTCATAATGAACTTTAAAGCAAGACCACGCATCAAAACAGATCAAAAGAGTTCTCCATATTTATAAGAGAATTTAACAGCTGTATAACAATCACAGTAATCCCCAATAATTAACGACAAACAACCAGTCCTTTGTAAAAACAATAATATACATTCCACGGCCTCGAAATCCCAATGACTCAAGCACAAGAATAATGGAGGAAAAAAAAACTACAAGATACAACCAGCTACACCTTGTATTTAACTGCGCTTTCTGATGTAGAGGAAATGGCTCAAGGTCATCTTTTGAAGCAAAAAGCTACAGGCGTAGCCAGACTATCTTCTAAAGGGCTCAGCTTCAAAGGAACAGGTAACTTTTATTACAAAAGGATAGAAATTATGACACATGGGACACTGTTTTCTTTTTTCCTCTTGGGAGGGTTTAAGAGAAGGTTTCTCACACTCCTAATTCCACCATATTGAGGAGAATTCAGTACAATCGTCACTGCCTCATAGGAAACAATCATCTTCCATTACCATCCTTTTAGTACCTTTGTTTCTGAACTTGATTGTCTAAAAAGATTTTTTTTTTTTTTCACTTAACTCACATAGAAAGAGGAAGTAATGGGAAAAAAAGATAATTGTTTGCTTTAAATGTGTTTAGAACAATAAACACCGGTGCTACTTCCTTGAGGCTTTTGATTTCTTCTGGGGCTTTTGCCTTCCACTTATTGTTTCTAGGTTCTGAAGGAGCGTTTACTGTATCTGGTGAAGAGTTTTACTTTGGTTATCTCATGGTTTCAGGCTCTTTGTTCGCCTCCTAGTCGTTTTCCTTTTTGGAGTTTGGATTCCTAGTGTTCTTAGCCTTTTGGTTCTTGCTGCTGCCTCGAAGTTCTGTTGTTGTCGCTTTTTAGTTTTGGCTTTTAGAGCGGTTTTGGATGGCTGTTTCTAACATTGTGCCTGGTTTTCTTTGATTCTCTTTATGAACCACTGGATTGTTTTGTTTTGCTCATTAATTTATTTATTTTTTACCCTCTCTGTTTCTTTGACCCAAGTCTCTTTTCATTTCATTAATGAAAAATTCCATTTCTTGTTCAAAGAAAAAAAGAACACTGGTGATAGAATCAGGTCATAGTCAACAATAGAGTACATTGGGTAGCTATCTCATCACGATAGGTTTTGAAAGATAAATATGACAACATACCAGAAATAGTCGGACATTAATATAAAAACCTTGCATATAAAAATCCAACAAGACTAACCTGGTGGATGCCACTTTCATGAGCAAAAGCATTAGCTCCGACAATAGCCTTGTGTGGCTGTACGTTCAAACCAGTGTACTCTTCTACCTAAGGAATAAATTTGTCAATGAGAGGCCTTTAAGGAATATACTTGTCTAGCTTTCAAGGAAAGTTTTTGTATTTTGAAAAAAAGAAAAAACAAAATGAAAAGAATAGTATAAAAAATTAACTCAAAGGAAATTTTTCAGGAAGTATTTTTCTAAGAAAAATAATTACCATCTTGCTGGTCAAAAAGATATGTCTCGAGTTGATTCCAGTACGAAGACCTCCAAGCACATGCTCTCCACGACATTGTAAGGCCATTACCACCTGAAGATATTAAAAGATGGTTTCAAAAACAACAAAAAGAATAGCTATTTTCATATATGCCATTTAAGAAGTCTATGTAAACAGATGATCTCAAACAATACAACAGCAATGTGCATGGAGTAACATGTAAAATGAAATATATAAACACCCTAATTTCTCTGGATTTAAGATTTATCCTCTTTTGTATATAAGAAATTTTGTATTGTACAATGACGGATAGACTATTTGTCACTGGATAGATCCACAAAAAAAAATAAAACTTTAGCATAACAAAGTTAAACAACTAAAATAACCTAAAGGGTTCAGGAAAGGATACTTTCAGCAAAAGAGAAACTCCAAGTTGTTCTGTGCTAGATGATGTGCTTTTTTAAACCAGAAGTGAAATTTTGAGCTTTAAGAAACTTTAATTTTTCCATAAAACAGAAACCTGCCAGCCATTAACTCTCATAGAATCCCACCAATTCTTAAGGTTTGAGAAGAAATCAAGATGATCCAACCAAATATTTTTAATTTTAAAAGAGGCTCGTTCCTGCCAATTGAAGCTAGTAGAGGGAAATGGTCTAAAGTTGGCCAAGAAAGTCTCATTAGGGATATCATCTCCTTCTAAGCCCCATTCCGATCACTAGTAATGAAGAATCTTTCTATTCTAGTTGAAATAGGCCTTTCTCGACCATTGAACCAAGTAAATTCACCATTTTTCATCAAAATATCCATGAGCTCAAGGGCATCAATAAGCCCCTTGAACTTCCTCATGCTTCTGGTCACCCTCCCTCCACTAAACTTCAAACAGCCATCTAGCAACATTGAAACTACCTTCACACCATTTATCGCAAACCCCAGCTATGTCAACATTTCTTGCCAAAAATCATTTCTACCAACCGGCATGGGAGGACAAAAGACCCTTGTAACCCAACCATTGAAAAAGTTGTTAAAAGTAAAAGAAATAGAAACAAAGAAGAAACCAACAAGGAAATCAAAGACAAAGATACTATCTTCTTGAGTGTCACTAAAACAAGCATAAAAAATTTCTAGGGTCTTCACTCAACAAGGCATCATGGTCATTCACCTTATCATCTTAACATGTTAGATTGCATTGAGGCTTGTGTAGAAGTCAAGGGGAATTTGCGTGATTTTCTTCCTACTTCAATAGAATTCAAGAGTAAAAAAGGGGAACAAAAAAGGGGAACATGTTTATTAGATTTTGTGATGTTACTGCCTTAGATCTTCCAAATATCATTAATGGAGCCCTCTCCTTGAAAGACTTTTCCAATTCTCTAGACCTACATCATTTACATCAATTTATGGAAGATAAAAGAAATTTTGACATGAATGATAATGTAATTAATCACCCACCATCTTTAGTTCTAGAGAATAAGGAGCTTGAAGTCATTGATACAGGGATTGGGTGTTTTTCTGCCTTTAGAGATTCATTAGCTCTCCCTTTGAGGTGTCCATTAAAGCTCTCCAGTCTTCCAATCTCGTCTGTTAAAGAGATTTATATTGTTGCATTGCTACTTATATCCCTTATACAATACTCAGAGAAGTGAACCGATCAGTTCCTCTCAAACACTCATAGAGTATAAATCTATGATCTGGATCCTAATGTAGTTGAAGAAAATTGTTCATGTCTCTTAGTCTCCACTGTAAAACAAGGGAGTAGTCAAAACTTATCAACATTATTTGCATCAAGGCATTCAATCCCTTCTAGTAGCCATAAAGTTTTATCCTCATAAGGTACATTTTAGTTCAATTTTCTGGTTCTAAAGAGATTAGAAACAAAGGAGAATAGCAAGAAACAAAATATATTTCTTTCTAAAAATTATGTTGCTCTCGTCCCTTATAAAGTCTCAATCACAATTAATTCTCATCAATGTAACCCATAAATGTCCATAGTCCAATAAAAAATAGTGAGGCTAAATGCATGAACAAACTTTATGAAATAAGTATAACATATTGGTTAGATCAATCATGCTAAGTTGCATTGCAAATCATCCTCACTCTTCATGAAATGAAAGTATGAATTAGAATAAATAAAATAATAGTATATAGTAGAATAAATGAAATAAACATAGAAAAAAATAATAACTTGCCTCCTCAAGTGAAGCATTTCCAGCTCTCTCACCAATTCCATTAATTGTGACCTCAACTTGCCTTGCACCTGCACATGCCCCCTGCAAAGAGATGAGAAGAATCATACATATTTACTTAAGGTTCAAGATGAGGTCAAATCAGCATTTAGATAATTCACACAGAAATCCATTTTGTCTTGCAATTTACTAATTCATGGAGAGGCTGAAGAATTTCGTAATCCATAATTTGTTTGCTTTCGGTAGTGATTACAGAAAGGCTTCAACAATTTAGACTAAGATCAAGCCAAAAAAAAAAACGTATATCTTATCCCTTCTTCATAATTTACAATGCAAACTATCACTATCGAGCATACCTATCCATGAAATATGATATTAGTATACATTCATCATCACGTTTACACCTTGTTTCCATTTTTACCCTATATTTTTTAAGTGGTGTGTCACTATGTCCATGTCCTATATAGCATGTCTCGTGGTGTTAGAAGTATGCTATTCATTCCTTGTTACCATCTTATTATCTTCAGATGCTTCCCAAATTAAAGGACCAGATAAATACATAGGATCAACAAGGAAGAAAAAACCATTACTTACTGCTACTGTGTTGGCAGTTGCAAGTCCAAGATCGTTCTGGCAGTGTGTTGAAATGATAACATTTTCAATGCCAGGAGTATTAGATTTTATATCAGCAATCAACTTGCCAAATTCAAATGGCATTGTATAACCCACAGTATCTGGTATGTTGAGAGTAGTTGCCCCAGCCTTTATCACTTCCCCCAGAATTTGATAAAGGAACTCTCTGTCAGATCTGATAAACCACAACATAAAAATGAAAAATGTTTTATCAATTAAAAAGACCAGCAATTGGTGTTAAACAATGATTGATGGCCAAAGATATCGAGAACCTCCATAGTGAAGGTGCCCTATGAAGGATCTGCTCCACACAAGACAAGGATGGGGATAGACATTAGTCAGAGACTGTACAATAAACAATATGTCCGATCCACACAAATAATAATAAAATTTCCCTCACTAAACAATTCTAAATATCGGTGGAAAGGGAAACCATACAAATGCATTTCAAATTGATGTTATGATAGAGCGAACAGGATGGTATACTCTAATTCTCAAGAAGCGCTTTAGACATTGGGATCACTGATTAAGTCTGTGTAACGGGAGGTAAATAAGTCAAACCTATAGAGTATATGAGTTTGCTAATCAAAACTAAATATTTTCTCATTATTAGCTATATAGATAAAATTACATAAGTTAAGCATGGGAAACTGACTACCAACTTTTGTATACACAATTTAAAATTTTATATTCTCATACACAAGGCGGAAACAAGTTGCACAAATTCACACTTCACAACTTCCAAGATAATTCTAAGCTTATTAACTATTTAATCCAAATCTCCATTATGATGGAGAGTTTTTTAATCCAAGGAGCATGCAGAGTCGACTTACTCTCTGGATCAATTCGATGAAACAAAAAATTTAAGAATGCATGCAACTTGAGATCGAGATCAAACCTCCCAGCATCCTCAGGGCTGAACTCAACATCATCACAACCCAAACTTCGTGCAAACTGCACCATATTTCGAGCAATTTCAATCACTTGCTCCCTCGTCTTTCTCAGCTTATGTTCCATATGAATTTCGCTCGTTGCAATAAAGGTATGTATCCGCGGTCTCTTAGAGTACTTCACAGCCTCCCATGCAGTTCGAATATCCTTCTCATTACACCTCGAGAGACCACAAATAACAGGCACGTATCCGTCCTCATCGACAGCATTTCCAACCTCTTTGGCAATCATCTTGACTGCCTCGAAGTCTTCCTTCGAGGCAGCAGGGAATCCAGCCTCAATTATGTCGACGCCAAGCTTGGTGAGCTGACGAGCAATATCAACCTTCTCTTTAGCAGTGAGAGAGGCACCCGGAGACTGCTCGCCATCGCGGAGAGTGGTATCAAATATGCGAACATATGAAGAGTCAGGAATGCGATTAGGAATGTACGGCGGACGTCTAATTGATGATTTCGATTCGGAATTCGAAACTATGCTTTCTTTCTGACAGCAGTAAATGCGAGATACATGGTCCGCCGCCGTCCTAAAGGACAGTGAACGTGAAGAATTCTTAAGAGCCTGCAAATTCCGACTATAAATCCGATGACGGGCAGAAAACTGAGAGTTCGGTTGCCGAACAAGAAACTGATTCGGTCTCGAAAATGCTGCCGGCATGGCCATCAGAAACACACTACCAGAACAAACTAGCTTCACCTCCTCTTTATTGCACAATCTCGCAACCGTCTGAGAAAATTTGACAAAGCAATTAATCCGCTATGATGGACGAACGTATAATACTTACAGGCGAACTCCAGCGGGCATTTCTGGGAGCTTTTCAAGAGGAAATGTGGACAGAATGAAAGTCCGTTTAGATGGTCAGAATGACGGACATAGAGGAGCAAGTACAGAGGGAATCGATGGCGGATTGATGAACCCTGGAAGGCTGAAGGAAACGGCGGCAGGCATGCATCACACAGTTTTCTAAAGCTCGACGTTTAGGGTATATATAAATGCTAGCTTACTTCGATTTGTCATAGAAGGACTGTCTGATCTCTCTTGGACCATTTTTATATTTTTATATATTTTTTATTCTTTTTTATTCTTTTTTTATTCTTTTTTTATGTTTTTTATTTTGTCCAACTGCCTTCCAACTTGCAAATACTAAACCATTTAACAATTAACATGAAAATGATTTTTGAAATTGTAAAATTTTTTTTTAGACGATGATTTGACCGTTTTTGAATAAATTTACAGTAATTATAATAAAATAATAAAATTTGTAGTTTTTTAATAATTCATATTACTAAAATTTACAGTAATTATAATAAAATAATAAAATTTGTAGTTTTTTAATAATTCATATTACTACAAGGGCAAATTAAATAAATTAAATTAAAATACGCAATCAGTAATTCGAATATTTAGTATATAACATGTGAAAATAAAATATAAAGTATAATATTATAGTGTTGATAAAGGAGAATTAAAAGTTCATAGTCTGCTTTTGGAAGATACTGGAAAAAATAAAAATAAATAAATGTTTTTTTTAAATAATTAGCAAATAGAAAGATTTTAGTTTAAGAGATGGAAAGTTAATTATTTTTTTAATTTAATTTTTTTTATTTTCCATATATATTAGCGATATAAAAGCACCGTAATTTATAACATTCATAATATTACAAAAAAACATCCATTGATAATTAATTTATAAATTTAAAAGAAATAACAAATCGTAACAAAAATAACTCTTTATTTCTTTACTTTATGTGCCACTTTTAATTTTATTCCAACTTTATGCTCTAGTGAACATAAAAATAAATAATAATAAGAGGAAAATAGTATACTTTATTCAATAAATGCCTCAGAAGCTCATTTTATTTATACCATTTTCATGGGCATATAAAGGAAAAAAAAAAACTATCCTAACATAAGCATAAGCATCCATGGTCGAGAATTCAAACCTCTCTCTCATGACTACTTGACCACGAGTAGCTAAAAAAAATTGGAGAATGTGGTGGGGAGTGTCTTTCTTTCGTTGGTTCTTAGTTTTACGTTCGAAGCAATTAGAGTAGAAAATAGAGCTTCGACTCCAAAACTGGCCTTTGTCAAGAAATTCATCGTTGGTTCATTCATGATGTTTCTTTAAATATAAACCTAACACCATACGAGGCTTCGACTCTTAAATTGGACTCCATCAAATGGTTTATCAATGATTCGTTTGTTATGTCTAAGTTTAAATCCAACAAAGTTGAAAAATAGGGCTTTGACTTAGAATTGGATTCCATGGACGAATTAACCATTTGTTTATTCATACTGCGCTGAGTCAAAAATAGGGATTTGAATCCTAAATTGATCTAATTTAAGTATTTACCATTTGTTCATCTATGGTGCAGTCAAATCTTAGGTAAAAAAAGTGAATATTTTTAGTATTATGTGATTTTCATGAACATACATATGCACGAGATCCCATGTACAAAACACTAGTTAATAACGGGACGTAACATATAATATTTGTATTCATAAACATCACATTTTAGCATACATGAAACACGTACTTTCATTCTCACCATAACATTCACGACTTTATCACTACCATCAGTACAGGAAAAGGAGGGAGAGTTATGATTATTAGAGATATTTGAGATTGATAGGATTAAAACACGAATAAATTATCAACAACTATTATTTTTTTCAATGAAATTTTGTCAAAACTTTTCACAGGTTCAAATCCAATTAAGAGAATCGCTAAATATCATAAATTGTTCCAACATTTTTTTAATGTATGTCTATTTAAAATACATGACTACTTTACAAACAACCTACAAAACATGTAAAAGTCTGAACCATTCAATTTTTATTTATGGAGTCGATTAAGCTTATTATATAAAAAAAAAAACAATTCAAAACTATAAATATAGGGATTTCGAATGTTAAAATCTAATTATCAATATTTAAAATTAGTCACTGTGGACTAATTCGTATTTGGAATAGACTTAAATCCTGGTTGATATGACTTCAAACACATTCGTTTTCGCGCGTATATAGAATAGTTGAATCGTTGGTACTTAAATACAAGGCTCATCAAAGTCCATGTGATTGTTAGCATACATATCCCATATGGAATTAGGATATCAATGACCCAGTAATCGACTAAAAAAAAAAAAAGTCATATAGTTTAGATTTCAACTTGGAATATAATTTTAAAATGCTTATGAAATATTAGAGGTAAGGATTTTTTTTTTTGGTAATTTAATTTATGAGAAAGGAAAGAAACAAGGACATTAAACCAGCTAAAACAAGCATTTAAGAAACTAAGTAATAAAACATTAAAATATGATAAAATTAACTTAAATTAAATAGAAAATCATTTGCAATTAATATAATCATTAACAAATAATTTTTGGATGGAGAAGTTGATTTGGGTGTATATAAATTATAAGGCTCAGTAAAACTTGGTTTTTATGAAATTTTTTTATTCTAAATATTAAATTGGTTAGAAAATAAAAAAATTTCTCAAGATTATTAATAAAATAAAATAAAATAAATGCATTACACAGAGAGCAAAACACGTTTTTCTTAAAAATATTAAACACACATTGTCTAGTGAATGTCACACATTATACATTATATATATTTTTATTAAGACAATTTACTTTTCCTGTAAAAAAAAGAAAAAAGATTTTTTAATTAAAAAAAAAACTAATTAAGAGAAATTAAGAAACAAAAACATTAAACCAACTTAAAAAAAAAAGAAGAAAGAAAAACGACCGTTAGCAAATGTTTTTATATTTTATTTATTTATTTGTCAAATGAGAGATTATAAATAGTTTCGAGAGTCTTCTGGACTTCAAAATAAGGAAGAACCCTGAATGTCTTCTATTCCTCCTCCAGGAGAGAGCGTTTAAGCGAAGAAATCTGTGTTCCGCGATAAATTTCAGTCGAAACTAGAGGAATTTGAACTTCAATTTTCGTTTCTGCTGTGTTTTTGAAGCTGAGATGGATCCTGAAACGGCCCTACAGCTTGTAAAGCACGGTGCGACGATTCTCCTCCTCGACGTTCCTCAGTACACGCTCATTGGAATTGATACTCAGGTCAGTCAGATAAAGGCATCTTCTGTTTTTTTGTTTGTTTTTCTTTCTCTGAAGAAGTTTCGAGGTACAGTTGCGAAGGAACAGATGTTTAATCATACTAGCTAAATACTAACCTGCTATTGCTGCTACTGGCTGAAATTTGTGACTGCAATGTTAGGTTTTGTGGAATTTGAACGAAAAATTGATTCTCTGTTACATGTTACTTCTCTATTTCCAGTAATTTTTATCTGAAATTGGTCAAAATCTGTACGCGCTTCTTGTTCGGTTGGCTGAAGAGCTACCTTATTTCATAGTTTTAGACGCTAATTCGTCAAGATTTTTTGGCGCGTATTGTTTTCAGTGTTTTGTTTTTGTTGTGGATAGTACTCCTCCATACACGTTTTGCTGGCTGAAAAGTCATGTTATGGCCTGATTTCATAGTTTTAACTGTAATACTTCAGAATTTTCGATTAAATATTGTTTCACGTTACTCTTACTCCCCTCCCCTTCCAATTAATGTGAGAAGAAAATGGTCAAAACCACCAAAAGTGTTTTGTTGGGCTAGTAGAAAAGCCAAATCATGAGTCGATTTCATAGCTATAGCAGCTAATTCTTGGAATTTTCGATTAAATCTTGTATTCAACGTTTCTCTTTGTTATGGGCAATGTTTCTTCTCACCGTTTATGTTACTCCAGTATTCCTATCATTTTTAGTTGAAAACTTGCAAAAACCACTATACACTTTTTGACTTCTTTGCAAGAGCTCAATTCATGGTTTTTTTAGCGTCTGATAATTATTATATTACTCATTACTATTGTTTTCAATGTTTATTTTTGTTATGGGTGTGGTTCTCACGGCATATCATACTGCATTTCCTAAGCATTGTTAGAATAAATTGGCTGAAACCACGGCATACTTGTTATTGGTTGGCAGGAAAGCCACATTAGGAGCTGGTTTCATAGTTCTAGCCACCAATATTTATATTCTGACTAAATTTTGTTTCCATGTTTATTTTGGCTGCTTTATTCTCTCCATGAGTGAAGTTTTTAGTCATTGCTTTTGAGCATTCAGTGGTAGGCTAAATTCTATTATAAAATGAATCTCAATGAGATTTGAATATCTTCACTTTTAGTTTGAGTAATTTGCAGTAATTATTGCACTAAAGTAGTTTAATTTAATTTATTTAGAGTGACTAATACTTGTTTTCCTTCTTAAGATGTTCTCTGTAGGGCCTTCTTTCAAAGGTATAAAGATGATTCCTCCAGGACCACATTTTCTTTATTACAGCTCATCGAGCAGGTGTGATATCATTAACCAGGTTATGTAGATATATCTATTTTATTGTTGCAGACTATGACTTACATGATGTGACGCATTTGATCAGTTCTTATAAAGATGTCATACCATGCATCATAGATTTTATTCTTACTGCTCATGTCCTCCATGACCTGTATAGCCTTGCCTTACATTTTGCATCACTTCGATCTAATTCTAACTTTATATGACAACATCTTAGCAACCTAATGCTTTGTACGTTGTTGTATCATTAATCAGTTCATAGATACTAATCTTTTCAACAGTACAAACTATCAGGTGCTATATTTCTCCTTCTTCTTCCTCTTTTATTTATTCATTTTTATCAAGAAAACCTACTTGCATGCGATATTTCCTCCATCTTTACCTTATGTTTATTTTGCAACATCATATGCTATGATGTTAATCGAGCTCTATAGATACTTATATGTAGTTAATTATGACAGGCTTATAACTAGATATATCTAGTTAATTGGTTCATAATAACTTTACACGACTCATCTATTTAATTGTAAAAAGGAGATGACATTATGACATCAATTATTGACCCTTGTGTTTATGTATTGTAGTTAACTCTTCATTTATTAATCCATTATGATGACATCAATTATTGACCCTTGTGTTTATGTATTGTAGTTAA